AAGAGCATTTAAGAGAATGGTGATGATCTCACTTTCGTTAAAAAGCCTGATTTTTTGAAAATTGCAAAAGTTCAAAAATTATTTCGGAGTCTTCCTAAAACTAAAATAATGATGAGAGATATTTTCCTATCCTCCTTCCTGATATATGTGCCATAAATATAGATTTTGAAATAATATCATGTAAACGTTTTAGAAAATTTGAGTACTTTTCGCGTTATTTTGCGTGAAGATTAACTCTTCATGAAGTACGATATAAGTGCACTATACTGAACATATCTCAATTTTCTATTTTTGCATGCAGCTCTCCATTAATTAAAAGTCTCAGCTGCTTCTGATACTGTTACAAATATATTAGTAACCAACAGTAGCAAAAAATGTTGCTGAACAAAACCAAACCAAATTATTCTCTAAAATGTAACAAAAAATTGCTCAAAAACAAATAAAATACCCTTATGTAACATTGCAATAAATTAAATATTTCACCATTGATTCACTAATTATACAATAACATAGTATAATATAATTAATAATATTAATAATAAATAATTATAATTATATATAAAGTAGCAGAGCCCGCCAGACGTTCACTCTCCCCCCTCTCTCTCTTTCTCCTCTCCAACTCCTTTCAGAAAACTGACAGCTGAAAAATTTAGTTTACAATGAAGCGACACCTAGACTTTCACTGTCCTGAAATTCCTCCAAGTACGTGACGTCAGGTGTTTGTATTGCCAAGAAGTCCAAAAGATACGAAAGCTTCCAGCAGTAGATTCCTCAGTTAGAAAAATAAATCTGCGATTAACTTCTCGTGTAAGTTTGCATTTCGATCACAAAGTTGAGAATTTGTATTGTATGAAGCAGTCGATTAAGGTTTTTTTTAAATTGCTTAAGACATTTTTTCTTCTCGGCGATCAGAGACTTTAATTCAACACTGCACCATGCAGGATAATTAGATTTGTGAACGATACGTGTTAGAACAAAACATCTATCAAGAGTTGTAAAATGTCAAATAAATTCCCTTTCTCGTTAAAAGCACATGTCCCTATACAGTTTAGATGGTAACATATTAAAAAGTAATCTCCCCCCCCGAAAATCATGTACCATGGTGGGATGAACAGAACAAATTAAATTATGAGACAAAGGAATTTCAAAATATTCAGAATAAAGAATTACATAATTATGTATCTTTTAATATTAGAGAGAATTATAACAAGTTCTCAAATAATAAATCTAGAGAGAGCTATTACTATTATTTTCATTATTATTATTATTATTATTATTGATGTTGTTGTTGTTAGTCAACTTGTTTACAAAATAGCGTTATTCTTTATTTTAGGACGAGGAAAAAACTGGTGAAAAATTAACGTGTGAAGATGTGAAGAGAAAAATTGTGAAAATATTGAAATTGATCTCAAACTTCTGCGTCCACTCTGAACTGATCTTTCGGCTGATGGCCATGATGTGTGTGTGGTTCTTTGTAAACCTCAATTACTATGTGTTTCCGCTGAGCGCCGAAACCTTTGGTGTAGACAGGTATTACAGACGTATATTGCAAAAATAATGTATTTATATTATTATATATGAGATATTTGCTATGCTAGTGATGAAGTGGCATTCATTTTATTTTGTGAGGAGGAAGGGTTGGGACATGAAGCAGATGTGGCGAGTGCATAAATCGAACGACAAAAATAAAATCATATTTTCTAGGTGTGACTTGCACTATTTTTTAGACAGCCTCACTGACTTTCTGTAATGTAACAAAATAAGGTACACACATACACACACAAACGTAACAATAACAAAGGTTTTATTGTGAACTTCATTAGTAACGAATCGTGACGATGTTTCTGACTATATATATATACACACACACTTGTATCATAACCTTACTAAATGGTCAGATCACCGGGAGAGAAAAAACAAGTACAATTTTCTAAAAGATGTTATCCAGAAGATGTCCATAAACGCAGCGCGGTCACTAGAAACCACCGGGGCACAATCCTGAAGACACAACTTTTCCAGACTCTCGCTGTCGACCCGTTCCGATTCTCTCAACTCTTTGGACTGCCCTCCTGAGGCCTCATTCACTATGCGAACTTAAACTTAAACTTAAACATAAAGTAGCCACGAAACCTAGAAATGAATTATTAAGAGATTCCATTCTCACTGCCTTGACGTAACCGTAGACGTAAATCCGTAAATTTAGAGTTCACTAGCACCAAGTTTTTACGTTAAGTTTATTTCGGAATTCTACCGAATACCAATCAGAGAGCCGCATGAAAGAAACAAACACCGTGGATTTCAAATTAGGTTCAGGTAGTTTGTAGTTTTGTCATTTCATTACCGTTATGTACTGAACTAGTTTGCGAACAGTTCTGGAGCAAGTAGAAAATTCAAAGGAAGAACTTGGATCATTTTCTAGTGGATTTAACTTGTGGCGAATAAAATAATCACGTTAGACGAATTACTCGTGAATTTGGTACATGAAAAACCTCGTTTATAAAATAAAGGAAATGCGTGCACTAAAGCAACAGCTACTCACATTCATATACATAAAGACAAATCGATAGTAAAATTGAAGAAAAAGCTAGAACTCATCTTTCCACTACGCCAGAAACGAATATATCAAGCTTCAATACGTCGAAATCTGATTGATTCAGGCAAAACGTATGTTCTAGCTTTCGTTCGTCATTAAGAGTGCTCGTTTTTAGATGTAACTTTTACTGCTAGGTTTACGGCATTACTTTACGTTTAAGTTAGCATTGTGAAAGACACTTACTTTGCATTACGTTTAAGTTACTTTTAAGTTTGTATTGTGAACGCTTGCGGTGCCGTTAAATAGCAGGCGGCCGCTGTTAGCGAGACTCGCTCCCCTGCCTTGGGGTAGCTGGAGCGCGTCCCGCTGCAACTTCAGCTGCCTTCCAAGAGCGCGCGCTCGCCACGGCATAAACGCAGTTCACAACACTCGTATTATTTTAATTCAAGAATACAAATCTTTTAATTGGGTTCTTTGTTACATTAAGGGCAGTAGAAGCTGATGCGCTCTGACGAAAATCATTTTGTTTTTGTTGCGTTCACAGTTTTATCTGAGCATTTGAACAAGTCTTACTTTTAGCAATAATGTTTAAATTAAACTTTTATCACGCTGTGTAGACCCTAAAAATAACCGCTTTTACTGCTGACTAAAAAAGTTATTACAATCGCTTCTTCCTCGTATCTGATATGTTAATTACGAGCTATAAACCTGTTGCGAAAATTCCAATAAAATGGACATTTCATGAGGTTCCAATTGAAAATGTATCTTTGTTCTTGCTTTTCTAAACAATTCTGCATGCTGTGTAATCGTGTGTGTGCTCGTTGGTAATTCACTCCCGTAACTCATTATCGGGCATTAAGTAATATATTCTAATCAATTTACTCAGACTGGAATGAGAGATTCTTTTGTTAACAGTAAATATAAGCTCAGTACTTGCGTCTTACCAATCTTTTTTTTGTTTTGTTTCTATTTTAGTCACATATTCAATGTAGTGAATGGCGTGATGGAAGCGATTGGATATTCCACGCCCATCCTCCTTTTGAAGTGGTTTCCACGTCGCCTTTTGGGCTTTGGGCTGCTTATGATTGCGGGATCAGCTCTCATCATCACTATTCCCATTCCTCGAGGTTAGTGTGGGTAGAAATCAAATAACTAGGCTGACTTTAACACACTATCACAATTAATACAAACATTTTAGCGCATTTATAAGAATAGAGAGAATTAATCCTTAGAGTAGATATTTCATCAAACAGAATAATCTCAAGAATCAAATCCTTCAAGAAAGAATCAAGAAAGAATATGAACTGCTATTTCATCATATTTTGATGTTGAGATGAGAATCGGTTTTGAAATGAAATGTTTGATACACTCAAGAAACGCGTGAGGGAAGCTTTGGGATGAGTTCGATACACGCATCAAACCCGTGGCCAAGCGTTTTTAATGGTAGTTAAAAGCAGCTGCCACTGATTTTTTTAATAGAAGCGTCTCAGAACCACATTTCAATATTATACATTAGAATTGAATTTTTTTCCAAAATGTCGTTTTTTATTCTAAAAACAAACAGTACTTCTTATATAGATTCAATTCAATTTCGTTGGTATTTTGTATTTAATAGGCTGTCCGGGTGACGCCGCGTCCATGGCGAAAGTGCCGACGTTTCGGTCGCCATTCTGCGACCTTCCTCAGGCATTACGTCGTGAGGAAGGTCGCAGAATGGCGACTGAAACGACACCTTCGACATGGACGCGGCGTCACCCGGACAGCCTATTAAGCGCCGCGGAAGCCTACGCTCTCTCTTGTTGGTAATTTGTTTACAGAACAGTCCCAAAGCTCTTTTTTAAATTGTCGGTTTCCATATAGTAGTACCAACATAATATTTTAATAATATTAAAAAAAACAGTAAACCTCATTTTAAATGACAATTTCCTTTGAAAAATTTGGAGCCGTTTTTTAATGATATGGTGCTTAATCGCTATTGTAAATTCGAAAATTGAAGTTCTATTTCACAGAAAATGTTTGCAGAAAATTGAAGCCCATTAACTCACAAGTACAATAGTGTTTACAAATTGCTAGAAATGTGCATATTAACGGCGTGGAAGATCTTTAAAAAATTACATTTATGTAATTTTTGAAAAAACAAAAAAATACCCTGAAATGAACATTATGTTATATTAAATAATGAAATTAGCACTATCCGTTCGAAAAGTTTAAAGAACAAATTTAAAGCCGTTTTTCAAAAAATAGATTTTGAGTGATTCTAAAAATGCGAAGACTTGAGCAGTATTCACAGAAATTGGGTGTTTTTGAGAAATTTTCTATAACATTTAAAGCACATGTACTCATAAATATAATAATGTGAACAAATTGCCGCTAATAGAAATATTAACGACGTTAATCTGTATAGAGAGACAAGTCAAACTAATTACATTTTTGTAACAACAACAAAAGAATTCCATATTGTACAAAACCATATTGAAAAAAAGTATGGGCAAGAAATTTATTTGAAGTGAAAAGCATTGTCTTCAATTTTGTAGTTGTTGGACGACGCCGAAAAAAATGTTATTTTCCAAAATTCAGAGTTAACTGTGAAAGTCGGACCAATGCCACCTTTATAATACAATTTTACTCTATTCTTACCGGAAATTTAAAGAATAAAATTGGAGACGTTTTTGAGAAAATTTTAAAACGTCCTTTATGTAAAGTACCCCCAAATTTTGAAGATATTTTTTTCAAAATATCAAAGCTTCGACTTGAGCCAGATAGACTGAGGTTTTTTCAATTTGGAAAAAATCCTACTCATGGTTTAGATGCTAGTGATGTTCATAAACAGACAAATAGGCGGACGTTTTGAAATAACCAATTTTTCGGTATCAGGGACCCCAAAAAGTGTATTTCCGTTGAAATTTCGAAATCAATTTTCCTCAGCATTACATAACTTTTCCTATACGTACGTTCAACGATCTGTCATTACAGAAACATTTATCCACTGAAAGGCTATTCATGTCAACTGCAGACAATCTCGGATTTCTTTAACTTTTCCTTAAAAATGGGTTTCTTCTTTCTTTCGCATTTTTGTCTCTTTAGTGAGCACGAACCTGTTTCCATAAACATTCCCAAAACCTCGTTCACAGCACCTCCAGTGTTGCCAGGTTAGGGATTTGTCCCTAAATGGCAAGGGTATTTTGGTCTTTAGTGGATGTTTTAAGAAGTAAACTAATTGGGGAGTTTTGTTGGGGGTTTTCGTTGAGTTTTTTAATTTAAATTTTTCTTAAAATAACTTTTGTGTATCTCAAAACCCAAAAATAGTTCCTTATGATTTATGCAGGTTTTCAAGATTTGTCCAAAAAGTAATCAGACTGAGTCTATAAACAGGAACTTATCCATCCTATTTTAACAACTCAAATTCTTCAAAACAGTCCCCTTGGGCGTCGGTGCACAACTCTCAGTACGATTTCCATTATTCGCACGCTCCCTGAAAATCAGCTTTCGAAATGCCTTTTAAAGAGTTGGCTGCAACGTCATCGAATCAGCCACCTTTCAGGGCGGTTTTTGCTTTGGGGAACAGAAAAAAGTCTTTGGGGCTTACATCATGGCTATACGCAGGCTGTAGCAAAGTTACAATCCCTATCTGGACCAGGTATGATGTCACATATAAGGCGGTGTGGTTCGGAACGTCGTGGTGGAGCTTCCACAATTTGATGACTTATCGTTTCTCTATCGTCCATCAAATTTTTCGCTTTTTATCACGTGGCCAAAATGAAAAATCACATTTCGCTCAACGCTCGATCCTCACTGGTCAGAATCGACTGCCACATGGTGCAAGGCTTAGGCAAGGCCCCCTACCGTCGATTCCACACACTGCAAACGACTGGAGCGCCGCACGGAGGCCAGGCTCATTAGGTTTTGGGCAGATCTTTTATTTATTCAGTTATAACTAGACAGCGGATATTTAGGTAAAATCCTACTTTTCCTGGTTAATTTGTACTAAATGAAGTTTTATATGTACATTTGAGGTATATTTGAACTAAACCCCTCCAATTTTCTATCGCTTAAAAGAACCTATTTCAACATTAATGGCTTTTTGAGCCTATTTTGCTTTTAAAAACCTGAAATAATTCTAATTTGACTTGTTACATTCCCGTATACGTACGTATATACATAGTATGGGCAAATTTATGTAATGCTGCAGAAAATCGATTTCGAGATTTCAACGGAAATAAACGTTCTGGGGTTCACCGATACCGAAAAAGTGTAGTTTTATTTTCTTTTTTTTTTTTTTTCAAAACGTTCATCCGTGTGTCTAGTGTATGTGAACAACACTAGCTCCTAAACCGCGCGTAGAATTTTTTCCAAATTGAAGAATCTCCTGTTCATTTAGCCTGAGTCGAAGTTCTGCGATTTTGAAGATCATTTATTAGTTTTTGGGGGGTACTTTACATAAAGCCCCTGCGACATCTTAAAAATGTTCTCAAAATTTTTTCTTTATATTTCTTGTAAGAATAGAGTAAAATAGTATTATAAAGGTGGCATATGTCCGATTTTCACGGTTAACTCTGAATTATCGAAAATTTCAAAACTTTGAATTTTTTAGGGATTTTCCTAAAACTACAAAATTCAATATAGAGATTTTTCCTTCAAATAAAAGTTGTGCTCCATAGTGTGTTCTTTCATTTAGGTCCTGTACATTTTTTAATTTGAGTAGTCTTCGCGCAACATGTGCAACTTTAAAAAATTACAAAAGCAAGATTCTCTCAAAAAACTGCTCCAAATTTTTTCTTTAAACTTTTGGTAGGGATAGTGCGAATGTTCTCTACAAGTAGACATAAACACATTTCTTCTGTGTCGGCACAACAAGCAAGGGTGACACTGATTTTAAGTTGCGTTAATCTGTAAGATAGCGAGAAATAAATATACAGGACAAGGATCTTGCGATTAAAGTCTCCATGCTACTATTTCCTGACTCGTGGAAAAGCCTGCCTCCGCTTCTAATATAAAGTTATTAAATTTCCGCGAAAGAATAGTGTTCTTGACCGATAAGAGACATTCATTTTCTCTTGAAAACTGGAGGATAGTATTAGTAATTTATTGTGAAGCAAAATATGTTAAGAATAATTCTAACTAGAGAACAAACAATAAAACTTATTTATAAAAAGTATTATTGCAAAATATTACACAATACTGATTCTACGTAATATTGATTTATATTTTTATATTTAAGAACTAATAAATGGTAAAAACAGTTGTTGTTGGTTTTTTTGGTAAGTTTCCTCATTTTATTTGTGCCAATTCTACAATTAAAAAAGACTAACTTAGATCCTGAAAGAACCTATATTAGGAATCTAAAACGCATATTTTAAAATTCCGCGTCTACTTATAACACTTTGGCATGCAAGGTCATTTGAATGAATTTCCTCGTTTATAATTGGGCGGTTATTTGTCACAACCAATGATTGGTAGAAAAATAACTCAACACATTTGATGAAAAGGAACGGATCACAGAAACAAACAAGTTATGGCAACAACGATTTTGGTTGAAGTTTTTACCAAAAGGTATTACTCACGCAACTTTTGTTGAATGATGGGTTGAAAAAATGCGGATAGAGTGGGGGTGTTAGTTACGAAATCGGCCACTAGATTTTATCAAGCAATGCCAGTCTCTGGACAGTCATGCCTTCACAACTATCACAATAATATGCGTTTTAACTTTCTCGGGAATTCGAGGTGTCTCCTGTGAATTATCTTCACGTGCATAGGTCATTTCTGTAGATTTTTTGGAGAAAATAACGGACAGAAGTTCTCGTCTTCGACAGGAAATAGTTTATATTTCGCGCCACTGAAGATGAGTTTGGAATGTTGCCATCAGTGCTCGCTGCGAGCTTTTGCCTTCAACTTTGCGCCAGTAATATCATTATATATTTTTCAGATATTAGAATGAGTGAGATAAAGATAATTCTTACCTTTCATAACTCGTACTGAGTGCAACTTAATACAAAGTTATACAAAGTGTGAAGTGTATGTGTACATTACAATATAAATATTTGCAATACATATTTTTATATATTAAAAAATAAATGATTGATTGTCCTTGAAATATAAATATCATACACAATTAATATTTTTCGTATTT